AAGTATAAATATATATGTATATATAGTAGCATATTGCGTGTTTTTGGTGTGGAAAATGATGATAGATTCAAAGGTGGAAATTGTTGAAGAAGTTATGAGCAAAGCAGCAGCGATGCGTATCACATGGGTGGTGTTTTGATATATAAACACACCCACCATCCAAGTAATTAATCAGCTGGAGATTTGTGATTGAGAAGGAGCCACATATTCAACTATGAATATATATATATATATATATATTACACGTGCATGTTTTCTTTTTATTTCACCTCTGCATTTCTTTCTTCGGGTAGGGACTCATCATCCAAACAAATTTCATTTCATTTTCATACCAAAATAATTTTATATTTTATTTCACTTCTAAAATTTTGATTATATTATTTTAATTTTTTATTATTTAATATTTTTTTCTATTTTTTAATAATAATATGTCAAAATTAGTTAAATCAATAAAAATAAATCATATAAACTAATATAAGTAACATTATATATACTTTAAATTGACAAATTAACTAAAATCAAATAAATTTTTCATTAAAAGATTGAGACAAAAATAATGTTATAATATTATCATTAGAAGAAATGAAATTAGTATAAAAATAAAATATTTAAGGACAAATAATTTTTTATGAGTTTAGTTGAATTATATATATTACAATAAGAAATTACATAGAATGATTATTCCAATTCAAAAATCAGAGAAATAATTATTACAGTAATAATAGCACACGGATGATAGTTCATAGTTAGTCGTTCATCAACTGAGCGTAACCAAAAAGAAAATTACCAAAAATGCATACAAAAATTTATATATGAAATAAAAAATATTAGAGTATTAATATATATATGAAAATTAATCCAATAGCTGCCGTTAATAATTTCGTAATCTTCTTAGTGGTAGAAATACACTGATTATTGATAGTTCATATGACAAAGTGTATTAAGACTTTTTTGTAAAGTGAATAGGAAATATTATATTAAAATAACTATTGAATTATTAAGAAATCTTGAAGATTTGAGTTTGAAAGTATATGAAAGTAACAATATTTTTAAGCATAACAATATTTTTTAAAAATAAATGAAAGTAATTTTTAATGTAATAGATAAAAAAAAAAATCATAGATTCTAAAAAATTAAAGATTTTCATTTAAGTTTTGATTGGATTTGGAAAGAAATAGATAGAGAAAAAAATAAAAAAACAGTAAGACAACTGTTACTAAAACAAAAAAAAAAAACAGTAAGTACTGGTCGGATTTGGTATCCAACTTGTCTCTACGAAGAATAAATTCGAATTTATTTTGAATTATGAAGTAAGTTTTTTTTTTTTTTTTTTTAAATTTTACAGATCGAATCGAATTTATGAAGTATTACATTTAGATACATCTGAATTATTTTATAAGATTAATATAATATGATCATATTTATATTTAAAAAATTAATTTACTATAGATATATTAATTT